AGAATCATGGTAGTTTAATGTACATATTAAACGTGACTGGACTGGTAGTGGCAAATTGAACATCACTCAGAATTGAAACCTAGCCGCACCTGGCTTCCCACTCCGGTGAGGAGAGGTAGAGAGCAAGGGGGTTTATTTTCTGCCAAATTAACGCGACAGGCACCTGCGAGGTTCATCTGGCCCAACTGCCCGGCCGCCTCAGGGCTGACTACAAGTCAAAGCGTGGCGGTAAGGACATTGTCCACACGCCTCTTCAACACTGACAGGCCTGGGGCCCTGTCGGTCTAGGAAGCCTGTTCCAGGGTCTGGCCACCCTCTCAGTAAAGAAATGCTTCCTGATACCCAGTCTAAACCTCCCCTGGTGCAGCTTTGAACTGTTCCCACGTGTCCTGCCCTTGGTTCCTGGATCTCCTTGGATCCCACAGGATCTGCTGGATCTCCCCGATCCCGGGGAGCAGAGCTCAGCACCTCCCTCTCTGCGTCCCCTCCTCAGGAAGCTGTGGAGAGCGACGGGTCACTCCTCAGCCTCCTTGTTTCCAGACTGGACAAACCCAGAGCCCTCAGTCGCTCCTCACGGGACGCACCTTCCAGCCCTTCCACCAGCTTTGTTGCCCTCCTCTGGACGCATTCAAGGACCTTCACATCCTCCTTAGGCTGTGGGGCCCAGAACTGCAGACGGTGCTCCAGGTGAGGCCACACCAGCGCTGGACTCGGCAGGGCAGTCACCTCTCTGGTGGTGCTGGGTTTGGTGTGCCCCAGGGTGCAGGGGTTTACCCTCCCAGCACCCCCAGGGCCCTCTGCAGGGCGGCTCTCTGGCCACCCTCCTCCCAGTTTATACTTGTGCCTGGTGGTACTCTGTCCCAGGGGCAGAATGTGGCATTTGGACTTTTTAACTTTCATCCCATCGATCACTGCCCAATGCCCCAGTCTATCCAGATGCCTCTGCAAGGCCTCTCATCCCACTTGTTTTTTTCATCAATAACTTGTTTTCTACAGATCGATTTTTTTTTTAAACCGTGATAGGGATGCTTTACAAGAACTATGCAGGAACTATACCTCCTTTTGTTCGCTGCTTTCTGACTCAGCTTTTCTGATGAGTGTGCGTAAGGATCATTTGTTGTTTTGATAAACTGGTCTACAAGCTGTGTATCATAGAACAATAGAATGGTTTGGGTTGGAAGGGACATTTAAAGATCACCTAGCCCAACCCCCGCTGCCAGGGGCAGGGAGATCTTTCACTAGATCACGTTGCTCAAAGCCCTGTCCAAGTTGACTTTGAACGCTTCCAGGGATTGGGCATCCACAGTTTCTCTGGGCAACCTATTCCAGAGTCTCACCACCACCCTCATCATAAAATAATTATTCCTTGTGTCCAATTTAAATCTAGCCTCTTTCAGTTTAAAACTATTGCACCTTGTCCTATCACTAAAAATGATATCTAAATAATAACTAAAAATCATTATCGCCTGCTAAAAAGCCTCTCTCCATCTTTCTTTTATGCCACCTTTATATATTCAAAGGCCATAATAACGTCTCCCCTCAGCCTTCTCCGGGCTGAACAACGCCAGCTCAGCCTGTGCTTGCAGGAGAGGTGCTCCACCCCTCTGATCATTTTTGTGGCCCTCCTCTGGGCTGGCTCTATGAGGTCGTTGTCTTTCATGAGCTGGAGACCCCTGAGCTGGATGCATTACTCAAGGTGGGGTCTCACCAGAGCAGAGCAGAGGAGGACAGTCACGTTCCTCAGCCTGCTGGTCACGCTTCTTTTTGTGCAGCCTAGGACACAGTTGGCTTTCTGGGCTGCGAGTGCACGCTGCTGGGTCAAGTCCGGTTTTTCATCCACCAGTATCCCCAGGTCCTCCTCTGCAGGGCTGCTCTCAATT